AACTGCGGTTGGTTACATGGGAGTCCAGCGACATAGCCATTATGCTAACTGCTGGTCCCCAGTCCTTTTCTCGACACTGTGGTGTGAAGCGATCTACACTGGTGCAAAGACAGGATATTCTGTGTATTCTTTGGCAAGAAACTAAGAGAAAACCTGTCATCGGAGCCGGCGCGGACCTGCGGGGTTGCCAGAGACCCAGCCTCCCACAGCGTGGCCAAGGCCTGCAGACAGCGGCCCAGCCCAGCGGGCCTTGGCCATCTTCCCAGACACCGACGCCGACCACCTGGTGTGTTTTTCAAGCTGCTGGGGCTGGGATTCAAACCATGCAGATGGCCATATGTGATCTGGCTCTGTTGACCACGAGGTCACAAGGACAGTCTGACAGTCTTTTTTTTTTTTTTTTAAGGTTTTTGCCCTAGGGTATGTGAGCTTGCCAGAGAGAGAGACAGAGGGAGAGACAGAGGGAGAGAAGGTGAGGAATCAGCCTCTGGGGGATGGCTACACTACAGTCCCTTCTCTTGGGGTCTTGGGCATGCGTGAACACATACCCAGCATTATTCTCAAGCAGCCGGGTCTGGGATTCAAACCAGAGTCAGCCATGTGGGAATCTAGCACCTTAACTACCATGCCACCTGGTGGCCTCAACAGTCTTTTCTTAATACCAAAAAATATATAAATGAACTCCTGCTTTGTTGAAAATTTGACTTGTGCTTTGATTTTTAAAGTTAGATCTAAACTTGTTTATTTTTAACTATTGTAAGGGGGGGGCACCTTCTTTGAAACACTATTGATTTGATGATCTTTCTCTCTGGAAGAAAGTGAAATAGTGAATTCAAAATGTTTTTCCTACATAAACTGACATACTTTCTTCAGTGTTTACAAAGATCACTTCAAATTTGCTGCAAAGGACAAACAGAAAATCTGGGACTCAGATGTGCATACCAGAAGCAGGGTGGCTCCCAGGGCTATGCAAAAAAGGATGGGTCCCGCGAGGTCTGTTTCATTCATAATGCTGCCATCTGCTGGCTTCATTGGGTTTAGCACCGTCAAGGTTTTTTGCCATATGTGATCAAAATTGATTCCAAGTTCTGCAAAAAAGAAAAAAAAAAGAGAAACAGTATAAGTATAGAAAGTTAAAAATAAGTTACATTATTTAATTAAAGAATAATATATGTGATTAACCTTCATAAGCTAGAGTGCTATGTAATACATAGTGACTTTTTTCTTTATTTTGGAGAGGTTTTTCCTATAGGGCTCGTGCGCTCACCAGACAGACAGAGAGAGACAGAGAGATAGAAAACGAGAAATCACCCCCCAGGGGGGATGGCCACGCCGCAATCCCTTCTCCTCCATTCTCCTTTCGAGATCTTGGGCACGCATGCACACGCGCCTGGTGTGAGTTTAAGCCACCAGGTCTGGGACTCAAACTGCGGTTGACTACATGGGAGTCCAGTGACATATAGCCATTAGCCAACTGCTGGTCCCAATTCATAGTAACTTTTAAAAAACAAAATAAAAAAGAGTTTTTGTTGTCAAACAATGAGATAAAAGAAGTATTTTAGACAGACAAATAATCCCATTAAGGAAAAAGTTCCGTCATTCATACAGCAAATATAAGGTTAAAATCTAGATTAAAAAAGTGGAAATTGGCCTTGTACAGTTAAAAAAAAGAAAGAAAAGAAAAAAATTACTAGGGTACCAAAAGTCTCATCAAATTGCTCACTTAGATATTTCTTTTTCTTATATTTTCAACTGTTTTTTTTTTTTTTTTTGAGAGGTTTTTCGCTATAGGGCGTGTGCGCTCGCCAGCCAGCCAGAGAGAGACAGAGAGACAGAAAGCGAGAAATCACCCCCCAAGGGGGATGGCCACACCGCAATCCCTTCTCCTCCATTCTCCTCTCGGGATCTTGGGCACGCACACACGCACCCGGCGTGAGTTTTAAGCCACCGGGTCCAGGATGCGAACCGCGGTCGACTACGTGGGAGTCCAGCGACATAGCCATTACGCTAACTGCTGGTTCCCATATTTTCAATTGTTAACACTTCTGAATTCCTGTCCTATCAACCATAGCATAATTTTGCTATTAGTAATACTATTAAACTAAAGGGACACAGCCCAAGTCTGGGATTTTTCTTCCACTCTGCCTAACGAGAAAAACAATTTCATGCAAAATACCTGAAACTCCACAGAGGAGAAGAGGGGAAGGCTTTTCGGTGAGTAAAAGTAATCAAGATGTGCACACATTTTATTATAAGGTCAAAGCACTGTGAAGAGAGTCTGTGTATTCAAAGATTGAGTTCATGAAATAGGTTTCCCTTTCCCTTTTATGAGTGGTAGCGTTAAAATATCCAAAATCAGTGGGGCTTGGGTCCGTGAGGTTGCACTCATTTGGAAATTTTTAATTATGTTCTCGACTATCTGTTTTATAAAGAATTCTGCCTGCTGCCTCACAGACCCCCGGATAGATTCTGTTCTTAGGTCATTTTTATAAAGAAAACCACCTCGCCATTTGGCATCGCATGAGCAAGATAGAGCTATTGACACTGTATCAATTTCTTTCCTCACCACCTTATTTATATCTATTTCTTTCTTTATTTTGAGATTTTTGTTATAGAGCACATGGACTTGACAGAAAGAAAGAAGTCACCTCCCAAAGGAGACGGTCACACCACAATTCCTTTTCCTCCATTCTCCTCTCAGAATCTTGATCATCCATGCACACATGTCTGGCATGAGTTTTAAGGTGCTGAGTCTTGAACTCGAACCACGGTTTACTACGTGGGAGTCCAGCGACATAACCATTATGCCACCTGCTGATCTCTTCCTCACCACTTTTGTAAAGATAAACTAAAATATATCTTGGGTAGAAAAAGAACATTCCCAGCTGCCCAGTAACACAGCAGTTAAGGGAGCTGAGTCTAACATGGTTTGGACTGCTGGTTCAATCCCAGACCCCACCCCACCACAGCTTGAAAAATACACCAGGCACCTATACATGCATGTACAGAATAGAGAGATGGAGGAAGTGACTATGGCATGACCACACCCCACTAGGTAGTGCTGTCACTCTCTCACACATGTACTAGTGCACATACCCCCCAGCAAAAGAAAAAGAAGGAAAACTTTCAAAGATAAGAATGTGATAGAATATGATGACTATTTGGAAACAACCAATCGAACTAATTACTCTCCTATCATTTTAAAATTTCAGTAAGTGTGAGCTGGAATTTAGGAAGAACTGAAGCTAAATGATTGTAAGTATGTGAATTTAAAACCACGGAGAGCTACCATTAATTGAGTGTTTGCTGTGGGCCCCACAAGATGTACATGCATTTACAAATATGCAGTGTAGCTACTGTTATTATTATTTTATTCAAATTTTATGCATCAAATGGCTGAGGTTTTGAGAGATAAAAATAGCTTATCCCAAGTCATGAAGCTAGTAGTAGAAAAATCTCGATTTCAACACTGGAAAACATAACTCAAGAATCCGTACTTTTAACCATAAAGTTGTGGTTGGGTCTAATCTCACAATGGCCACATTTTTAAAAGCTGAGGCTGGTTCTCCCACATGAAGGATTGTCTGCTTAAATTCATTTGTATGTGGCATTAAGATTCCTGCCCCAATATTTAACAGCCTTTTCTTATCAGATACGGGGTATGACTCTCATTTTACAGTGCCACTTGTCACCTGAATACCTTGCAAAGCTGATATTCTGTACAAAGAATACAAGATGGATTTTCAATGGTCCCCATGGTACAGAAAGGTTTTGCTCTAATGACTCAGAAGTTTTTAGAAGGCCAATTAGACGCTGGTCTTAATTAGGATAGAAAGGTATTCTTGTATTCATTTCATACCCAGATTGGCATTTCCTACCTCAAGTTGGAAAAGAAAATAATCGACCTTAACCAGGTGATAGTAAGCAAATAATCTACATTTCAGCATCCATGTTTCATCCTTTATTTTCACAATGAATGTTTATTTTTCCTAATGAACATGCACTTTGGGGAATATGAGCAGTTCACCAAGCTTAGACGGAGGTTAGGACATCTAATGTAATTCTTAAAAGAGCAGAAGACTTTCAAAATTGAGAAATGCTATAGTTTCCCTGAGGCTTTTGTTGCTTTCAAACTTTATTTTCAATTTTGACATTTATGCTAACACTGTATTTTCAGAATTTACCATGGCAATGGTCATTAGTTCCATATACCTCTTCTCCTCAAAAAGCATAATTATTTCTGAAGACACTCAGAGGAAAATGCTCTATACAATATCAGTATGGATCCAACCACTGAGGCGATGGCATAATTAACTTGTGTACATATTTCAGCACGGAGACATCAGGAGTGGATGAGCAAAAGGCCTAGAAACTGTCTTCATAAGGAAAAAGACTTCATGTGCTTCCCACAGAAATATAGCTCCACCAAATATTTTGTTTTCCAATGGACTACAGAGTACCTGGATGAGATCCTAAGTGTTTATTAATTGTCCATACCCTAATATAATACCTTACTACCCAAAATGAAAGAAGATAAAAGTGCTATGAAATTTAAATGTAAAATTTATTGTTTTGCTGTCATCTAGTGGTAGTAAAGTATATGATATATATGCTGTAAAAATGAATGAAGATCTTTATTTTCTGTGCAAATCGTGGCATTGGCCTTATATAAACCTCAGGCTACGCGACAAATACAGTGCAAATTGTGGCATTGGCCTTTCATATATAAACCTCAGGCTACGCGACAAATACAAAATACCGAACATCAGTCATTTTTTTCTGGTCCGACAGACTTGAATTGACTATTTTTCTTGAAGATACATTTGTTAACTATTGATTGTACATTATGAAACCGTAAAAGTTATCACTTTTACATAAACTCATACAAATATTTTCGACTATGAAACATGAAATAAATAAGCACATTTTCAAAATAACATACTTTTATGCTAGGAGTGTTCATTATTATAGCTTTACAATTTCATAGGGTATTTTGAAGT